CTTAAAAGACTAATAACAACAGAGCACAATATAACGAAACTTTAAGCTTCTGCTGAAAATTAATAATTGAAGCCACGTGAAATTGAAATATCACATCCGTAGATCTATGGGCCGCTTTAATTCTCTATTCACTGGATTCCAAGCCCGAAGAACCCAGCTGAAAAACAACCTGTCGGACTATTTAAGTAGTAACGGAATCAACACCTCTATTAGATCCGTTAACCCATGTAGATTACAAAATACTTCATATTAAAATTTGACCTAAAAATTCACGATGTAGATATATGGAGTGAGGGTAAACTAGAGACAATCAGGGGTGATTCAGTGTGTCTGTTTCGTGCACCAATGTGCCTCAAAGGTAACGCACGTTCTTGGATAAACATTAGTTAACTAGTGATTGAAAATGGAGTAATTTGGCTAATGAGTTATCACTTCTGCGTCCGGGGAAACTTATTTACACATTCTACATGAAACAATGGACCCTACGTCTGATAAATACTGTACGTTTGCCGAATATTTAAGAAATATATTATTGACTTTTAATTAAATCTAAGTAGGTCTCGTGAAAAACCACATCTAGCCACGTCAGCCACGTCAAAACATTGAAAATTTTACTTGTACCTATTGGAATTTTATAAAAAATAATGTGTGAGTACTGAAAATAGATATAGACACTACACAGGTTTGCCTAGAAGACTTGATAGTGTTAGTTTAAAATATTAAATTAAATTGGAAATTCTTAAGGGAGGGATTTTCAAGGCGACAAGTTTTTTGTATTCATTGTTCAAAGCTTTGCCACATTTATCTGATCTATGTAGCCATCAAACTCATGGAATCTCAGTAAAAGGATGTGAATTGATTGGACCCAAATCCATTACTTCCGTTTTCTCCCCTTAAAGTAATGTCAGTATGTCTAATCTAAATTAATAAGAGATGCTCTATATTAGCATGCCTTTATAGATGATCATATATTATAAATAGCCCGTTCTTTTATTCATTTATATTTTTATCAAGATGTTCGTAAATAATATGTGATACAATAAAATAGACTTTCTTTTCGCAAAGGTATTAATACTCGTATCAATATTAATAATTAATATGTATTTCTTTTAATTCAACGTTTAATTAATCATGAATAAATATTCTTTACTTTTATTTCATTTGTTCAGATAATTTTATGACTCTTAAAAAATGCAATACTTTATAGTACGATTTTTATACTATAATTAATATTATATTTTTAATATGTAAGTTTGTGAACCTTTCATTCTTTTCCTGGAGATAATATTATTTTAATTTGGTTAACAGAACATTAGGAAAGTTTTAAAAATTGATTTAATAACTTTTAACGCTATAAATATAGACTACTAACATAACTACTAATAAAACGCATTTAATTCATCTTGAACGAGCCCAAAGATCAGTCCTCAAAACTATGTTGAATAAACCATATGATTATTCAACCACCAAACTATACCAGGAAAGTGAACTTCTAACCGTACGCCAAATATACATTTTAAAAATAGCACTTAAAGTTCATCACAAAACTGTTTCTGCAATAGACTTTATAAATTTACTCAAACGTCGGGACTATAGGCTCCCCTTGCCCATAATTAAGTCTTCTTTTGCCAGACGCTTCAGTCCTTTCATAGAATCTTTTATTTATAATAAAGTAGCTAACGCTTGTGACATTAAACATTGCTCCCTAAAACAAGCTAAAACAAAAATTATTTCTTGGCTCTCCTCGTTAACCTATAATACCACCGAAGAACTATTCCTGCACCTGGTATAGCACCTTTTAACTAACATAACTTGTATCATGTGACTTGTAACCTAAACTATGCAATGTATCGAGCGACAACATTAAACATATTTGTAAATCTATCAATTGGTACCCACGACACAGGAATACCTAGTGTGGGTACCACCGGACATTTCTTCGTATCATGTTGTGTTTTTTTTGTTAATAAATATTTTTTCATTTTCATTTTCAACTAGAAATGTTACTAGTCTGTAGTTATGTACAAATTGAAATGAACGTCTTTGGAATGAAAGTCCACTAATTAATAGCAGACGATCTCGTTGATGAAGTATTCCATTCATAATATGAAGGCAATAAATTCATACTATTACTACTTATTCGATTGTCCTTACTATTAACGACAATCGAATAAGTAGAATCATATGAATGTTGTATTTGTAAAAACTAAATTATTTATAAAATATTTCAAAAAATATGTTCTTGTGTGTTGAGTACCACTTGTAGTTAAACTCGTGCAACTTCAGTTGTGTCATATGATTTAGTGGTAAGAGAACAATTAATTTAATTGAGTAATACCATGACTTTTTATACTTCGAAACCGGCATTTTCAAAATTTTACACGCATTCGTGATTACGTGTCTATCAAGGATTAAATAGATAGTTATTAGAAAAATCTTCTCATCTTTTTCTACCTGGCAATTTCCCAGCTATAGCCAGAGTCTGCCTAATACAGGTTGTGTATAGTTTTAGCTATTTTTACGACCGGCCGCCTGTCTGACATCCACCCTCTTTTGGGAATCAACATTAATCAGTGATGTCTAAATAGTTTTAGAAAGTACATATGACTCGGAAAAATCACATTGGTACTTGCCCGGGCCAGGATTGAACCCGTGCCCTCGGCAACGAGAAGCGGGCCCTTTAACCAGTAGGCCACCACTGACTTTAAATCTTCTCATATCCGTATGTATAAATTTATTTAACCGACACAGTTGTTTATGGAGACTCGAACTTTTCAAAATGATCCTGAAATATTAAGGTTGCTAATTATGAATATATTCTTCGAAATTGGGTGTTTCATCATAAAATTAGTCGCGTCATGAGAATAACTAATTGTTATATATATTTTAATACAAATTATAATATAATTTTATCGTTTTATAATTATTTGTTTTGATTTTACCTACATCGGTTCTAAGATATAATTTAGAGAAACAATATTTTCTAATGCGAATAGGATATAAGAGAAAACAATTTAGAGGTGTTACTATCCTAATGATGCATTGTAAAAATAGGTTTAAAAAATTATTACTCATCTGAAGTCGGCTGGTTGATAATTATGAAATTTTAATGTTAGTTCAAAATGTTTTCATGAAAAGAAAAAAATAATAATACCCTTCATAGCTAACAAACCCATTTCAAATCAAGAAATTATAAACATCTGTTTTAAATAGCGTAAATTTGTTTGACTCAAACTAACTAATGAAGGTGAAGCTTCAGAAAGCTACTTTTTCATCATTTTTAAATTTCATTCACAATTCGTGTCACCTTGGTTTAATTCAGTGCAAAATGTAAAACACGATTATGATGTGTCCAAACCTAATAAGAGATCACTTAATTTTTTTTGAGTTTCAAAAATATGTTGTTATGTAATGACAGTATAATGAATTATAATAAAAGAACGGTATCATTTTTAAATTTAATATGTCTAACGTTACATTAATCTTTCGGTATCAAACACGGCGGGAACTATTAACACGTTGATCATAAATAACGTACTATCTGGAGTGATTTAAAATACTATAAAGAGAAATCTTTGTTTTTATTTATTGTTTCGGTTTTAATAACATTAACGCTCCTTTTATATTACACGATTTCGCTCGTGCGGGAAAAAATACTTAGTCTCTGTCCAAAGAACTATTCTCTGTATGAAGTAAAAAATAATTAATTAATTAATTATAAGAAGGGTTTCACGTCTATATGTCCGTTTGAGTATGAGTGCAATTGCAAAACCCATTGCAAGACTGTGTGATATACATAAAAGTGTGCTACTGCAACTTCATTTTACTGCTTTTATTACCAATGCAGTCATGATATTTCAAGTTTTTTAAAGTGAAAGTATTTGTATTATTAAATAAAAAAATAATGAGAATTAACTTGAAAGAAATGCTTGAGACATTTTGCTAGCACTGTTTAAAAATCATTTGCCTTCTACGAAGTATCTAAGAAAATCTACTTTTTTTTAAATTATAAGAGCTTTGGAAATAATATACTTTTTGTAAAATAAAAATTTTATAATACCTTTATATACTCAAGTGCAATATTGTAAGTCTGAGTGTTTTTTTATGTAACTATTTAAAAATATTAAACAAAACGCTTGTGATTTTTTTGCATTAAACTTCTCGAAAAAGTCCTTAAAGTTTTCAGCGCCTCATGAAATTACGTGGTATTTAAACATAACTTAAAATTAATTATTTAATAACAATTGTCAACGCTTAATTAAAGTATATTTCTTAAATTTAATATGTATCAGAACAATCCATAATCATCCGCATACCGTTTTGTTTGGGCGTGAATAATATTTTATCAGTGTGTAAAATGAAGATATTTTTTTAACACCAATCTCCAAGTGAATTCAAATTAGTTCCTTAGTAATTAACGTAATTAGTAAAGTTAAAACTACCTTAGGAACTTAACTTAACGACCCGATGGTAAGAGATTGGAATATTTTGCGAAAACTCATGTGAAAATCCAGCTATACATATGTATGGGAAATTTTGTTATTAAATTATATAAAAAAATCTGTGTTGGTATAAAATAGTAAAGAAATGGGATTAGTAACTTATGGCAAATTCACATTGTTACATTAAATAACAAGCTTGGATAGGATAAATTTATATACATTGATAGAGATATATCCGCGTAACTACCATTGGATAATTCCGCTTATGTACATTGGAAGCATATTATCACAAGAAAATTTAATTTGAAACATTTTCCATATTAATGACTTTTAAGGTAATTTTTTGACATTTAGTAATAATTTAATGTTTAATTTGCGGATTTGCACTATCCCCTACGATATGCCACAAATCAGATATTTCATTATACTTATTAAACAGAATATATAATGTACAATATATAATGTCCAACAGGGAATGAGCTGCGCCAGTACTTAAAGCGGACGGATTTCTATACATTTCCTTTGAAGATAATGTATGTATATATGAATTTTTTCCAGAATCAGATATCGAGTTGTTTGAAGATAATCCCGAGGAGTATGTGTGGCGTGATATCGAAGGTTCAGACGTTGCGACCAGACGCCGCGCCGCCTGCGACCTGCTGCGGGCCCTCGCAACACATTACGACGATAAAATGATGGCCATCTTCGGACAGTACGTAGAGGTCAGTGAATTGATTTATTACTCACTACTATTATTTATGTTAAGACCTCTGATTTCAGTAATGGTCTTATAATTTTATCTAAGTGAGTTATACTAATGAGCGTCAATTTGTAAAACTAAATCTATACGAAGTCAATGTAATAATTTTTGAATAAATTACATAACTTAAATGCATCATTTTCGCATTGCACCATTTATCTGACACTATGTTTTTATATATTACTAGCTTTCCGCCCGCAGCTTCGCCGCGTGGAGTTCGGTTATATCGCGTTTCCAAGAGAACCTTTCAAAAGTCTGGGATAAAAACTATCCTATGTTCTTTCTCAAGGTCAACTCTATCTCTGTACCGAATTTCATTAAAATCAGTTCAGTGGTTTAGGCGTGAAAGCGTAGCAGACAGACAGACAGACAGACAGACAGACAGACAGACAGACAGACAGAGTTACTTTCGCATTTATAATATTAGTAGGGATGAAAATGTCCATATTTCAATGATTTATTATTTTTTTATCACTAAAAAAGTCTACCTAGGAATGTTTCGCAATATATGCCTGACAAAATAGTTTCGTATATATTATCAACACAATATTCCATTATTACATTTCATAAGGAGTATTTTCAGCTGTCTTTGTTGAGGAACTTACTACTGCATAGGAACATTACTCAAATGCAAATTTTTTCCCTCCTATTCACCTCTCATCTCATTTGTGTATAACTTAAGTTATTGTTTTAAATTCACCAACTATTTCTATTTTTATGTATCAGTTGAAAATTCCCAATAGGTTTCTTTACAGGTTTAATCCACTGTGAATTCTCTTAAGTAATAGGTATTCTAATCAGGTTATATATAAAGTAAATTTATCACGAGCCTTTAAAATCTTAAATTTTTTCAATGCCTAAGTTTTATATGTTTAATCACTCAATATTCAAAGACATTTTAATATCTTTCTAAATATAAGATTCCAGTTACCTAAAAAATGTAGAAACGAGACTTATTCTTATTTTAAAATCATAGCATTCAAATTAAAATTTTACGATCACGAAATAATTCCATCTGGATATTCATAGTTTTTAATATTAATTCTATACTTGGCAGGCTAACTTTTAAACTCAAGGTTTATTGGTTATACGAAATAAATTAGTAGATATTAAAGTCTTCACTATATATTTATTTCGTATGAAAGTAATAATTAGTTACAGAAGCAAACGTAATTATTATTGTGTTTATAGAAAAAAATACCTAGTTAAACACACGGCTAATGTACCTCCTTAGAAGAAGAGCTTTTGTATTAACAATTACTAGATTAATATATTATTACACGAATAAGCACCACTCCGACATTAAATATTATTATCCAAAATATATTTTTAGATTATATTTTCATTTTTCCTTAATTTGTGGTAACAGTTAAATATACATATATACACAATTGTTGATCGATATTCTTAATAGGTTTAGTAATTTTTATTTATGTTTCATTGTAAAAAAAATAACTCGGTAACATTTTATAATGACATCTAAGATTTTCAAGAGTTTTCATTCAAAATTCCTCGTTTGCCCGTAATCACGGGTGCTGCAAAGTAACTGAAACGTCGGGAGTATGTAGTTTTTTAAAATCACCAGTTACATTTCATTTTAAAGCTAGGTAACTTACGTACCTCGTTTTAAATTATCCTTAAGTTTACAATTCTGAATTCCCATGAATGTTAAAATTTGTATTCTATTTGATAAATTACTTAAGTTCAAAACAAAAAATAAAAATAATCTTACACAGATATAGTTAGAAGAAAATACAAATACAATCTTATACACTTTGGAATCTTATATAGACTACTGTGCAAGACCTGTGACAATAATGAGTGTGTGTTAGTATTGGTATTTAGTTAGTAGTAGATTTCCTTAGTTTTATAGATAGTGTTTAGTTTCGTAGTTGAATCCATGGTGACTGTTTTATGTTATAACCAACCTTAATTTTAAATAAATTTAATATTTTTTAATTTATTTAAAATCTAACAGATATTTCATTAGGTAATATATATCGATGTTATTAAGATCCCTTGTGTATAATATCAAAATATGTACAAATGTACAAGAAAAACCTTTTTACTATCGGTGGAAATTAAGAGTTGTAAGTGTTCGAAATTAAACGCTTCGCTGTGGATACCCAGAAAATAGATGAAGGAAAGTGCTGGGAGAAATGCCTACAATGACAAATTTGCTACTCAATGACTTGAGATTCTAAGTATCGTAGTAAATCACTATGGATTTCGAGAATTAGTTGTTTTTGTAAATTGCTAGCACTGAATAAAAGACCTCTTAATAACTTCAACATTAGACTATGGACATCAAAACTTTATACTGAATAAGTATGAAATAATTATATAGTCACTCGTTATGTTATATTTTACCCATACAAGGGTGTTGCCCGGCGATGTCTATTGATTTCTTAATATTTAGCACTTACGTAACAAAATGTTAAACTGAAGAAAATTTTTACCTATAACAAACATATAAGCTTGGTGAATTCTAATCTTCAAATTTTGAGAATTAGTTAAGACATCAATCAAATGCAATAGCCCAGTGTATATGTCAACATTACTTATTGTTTGAATCTCTTATTACTACGTTTCTATTACTAAGTAGTTATATATTAATATAATTATTATTAATATAATAGTTCTACTTTCTCAAATATAAAACTTTTTAAGTACAATAATTTACAATTTTTCCAAGACGACGTATATCGGAAATAAGAAATATAAATTCACTTTGAGAACTATTTATTACTGCGCTAAATGATGTTGGTGACATGGAAAACGATCGTTTTCGTATCTAAATAATTTTAAATATAATTTTATTTATTTTATCTGACAGAAATCTTTAACTAAGCCGTGCTTAAAATAATACATGTACATATGTATATTATTCATTGTATGCAATAGTATATTACTAGAATATATTAATAGGTATCTTAGGTTTTATTGTTTGTATTTGTATGCCGATGGTTGTAAAGATAATCATCATAGTGACTATTCCTTCAATGTAATATTAACAGATTTTTTTTTAAACGGCAGATTTATAACTAGTGTGCGTGGATCTTTATACTTAAAAATTTGTTTTCTTTTCTGACGGGAGATGTAGCAGTTCTAATCTAATCGGTTGTGTTGAAAGTAAAATAGGAATATCGGTATTAGGTGACATGCATTTTTTTTAAATAATTATGCTGGATAGAAGCAAGTATTAAAAATTACAAACCTTAGTCAGATATGAAACTTTACAAAATGTTTTGATTATATATCAAAAAGTAAGGGGATATGGTACACAACCCTACAAAGCGGGCGTATTCATATCCATGGAGTTTTGACGTTTAGGATTATTAAATATTATAGATTTCAGGCTCACTCGTGGACCTACTCCGCGCAATAGATTTTAATAATTTATACGAAGTAAAAGATAAACCATATCAAATTCTGGTGGAATACATCCAACGTAAATCCAGGAGTTTTATTGCATCTTTTTATATTAATTTAATACTGTGAGGATTTTAAAAAGAACTTCAAAGTTTGTACTAGAGATGAGATACTTTGAGATGCTTAGGTTCATTTAACAGATTAATTTAAAAGAAGTATAAGATTAGTAAGTGATCTTGTTATTTGTATCATTGATTTGTATATGACTGAAATTTAACATGGTTGCTAAGATAAATATCTTAATAAAATAAGATAAAAATCCATTACAAATATTTAGGAATCTTTAAATTTGCTTAAACCAGATTACAATAGCTATGACTTATAAATATGATTATTTAGGCACAAGAGTGAAGTTTTAAATAGTCTTTACAGGTTCAAACTACATATTTAGGTATTCCTTATTTAATATTAGTATTGAAAAAAATCTCTATCTATTATTCTATCTATATCTGCATTAGTAGTAAGATAGGGATAATAGTGCAATTACTTTAAGTGGTGTAACGTAGTATAAAAGAATGAAGTAATTGTCTTTGACAAGAAGTGCATGCAGCAAAAAGCTGCTTCAACAGAAGTACATATATATTTAAAAGTACCTCTTTTCTATTTAAACTAGTCAAACTGTATAGCATCAACGAAAAATGTGGTTTTATTGTGATGAAATGTACTAGAGATTATAGCGTGCGTAATGTTATTTTAAATTGTTTATGATTTATAGTACAATTTATCTAAAAATAACTTTAAGCAATGGAATCGTTATTTCAAACATCACATCCGTAGTTCTATGGCCGCGTTAAATCTACATTCACTGGATTCCAAGACCGAAGAACCCAGCTGAAATACTACCTGTCGGACTGTTTAAGTTGTAACGGAATCAACACCTCTAATAGATCCGTTAACCCATGTAGAATATAAAATAATTCATATTAAAATTTAACCTAAACATTCATGATGTAGATATGGAGTGAGGGTAAAATAGACAAAATCAGGGGTGATTCAGTGTGTCTGTTTCGTGCATCAATGTGCCTCAAAGGCAACGCACGTTCTTGGCTAAACGTTAGTTAACTAGTGATTGCAAATGGAGTAATTTGGTTAAGGAGTTATCACTTCTGCGTCCAGGCAAACACACAAACATTCTGCTTGGTTTCCACAAACATTCTACATGGAGAAATGCACTCTACATCTGATAAATACTGTACGTTTACCGAATATGTAAGAAAGATATTATTGAGTTTTAATTAAATTTAAGTGGTTCTGAGTATATACTTCATATCCATGATATCTTATGAAAAACTACGTCTAGCGTCCAAATCTCCAGGTGAGGACCATTCTGCAGAAAATCCAAACACCATCTCCCTGGTCACTCCTACTTTTGAGTATAGGTACATCAAAGCGTCAATTGGAGAGATATGAGAACCCTTACAAAAAATTGAAAATTTTACTTGTACCTACTGGTATTTATAAAAAATAATGTGTGAGCACTGACAATAGATATACACAGGTTTGCCTAGAAGACTTGATAGTGTTAGTTTAAAATATTAAATTAAATTGGAAATTCTTTAGGGAGGGATTTTTTAAGGCGACAAGTTCTTTTCATTCATTCTTCAAAGCTTTGCAATGGTTTAATTGGTCAATGTAGTGATTAAACTCATACAATCTCAATAAAAGGATGTTAATTTATTGGACACAAATCCATTACTCTCGTTTTCTCCCCTGAAAGTAATGTCATTTTGTCTAATCTAAATTAATAAGAGATATTCTATGTTAGCCTGTCTTTATATGTGTATATATTATAAATAGCCCGTTCTTTTATTCATTTATATTTTTGTCAATAATATTTTGTTCAGTAAAATAGACTTTGCTTTTCGCATATTTATTATCACTCGTTTCACTATAAATAATAATTATTACGTATTTTTTTCATTCAATGTTTAATTAATCATTACTTCTTTACTTTTATTTCATTTGTTCAAATAATTTTGTGTCTTAAAAATATGCAATATTTTATAGTACTATTTTATACTATTACTAGAAGACCCGGCGAACTTCGTTTCGCCCTATAATCAAGAAATATCTGTTACGTTTTTTTATTTATATTTTTGGAGTTTACCTATTAAAGCCATAAATCTCCGTGTTTTGAAGTGATTAGGAATGATTAATAGTTAATATGAGAGTTACACTGAGCTAGCAAAATAATAATTGTCAACGTTACTACTACACTTGATGCACAAACAATAACGATGGCCGACAACTGTGTAGGGAGTGAGAGAAGTCTAATTGTGTGAGAGAAACAGAAGACCGGCTTCGTTCTCATCCCTACTCCGTGCTGTTTACTGGGTCAGAAGTGACACCTGTAGATATCTGGCGGGGATAACTTATTAAATGACGATTGATCAGTTATCGACCGGAGATGAAAAATGATTAAATTACTAAAATAGCTATTAAAAAATAAGGGTTGATCGTAGAAGGGTGAAAATTTAGGATTGTATGTATTTTTGTACGTTGTATCATAAAAAAATAGTAATTAAAAATTTTGTCTAAAAAATAAAAAAAAAAAATTTAGGGGTGGACTACCCCTAACATTTAGGGGGATGAAAAATAGATGTTGGCCGATTCTCATAGCTACCGAATAAGCACAAAAAATTTCATCAAAATCGGTCAGGTTGTTTCGGAGGAGTATGGGCACGAAAACTGTGACACGAGAATTTTATATATTAGATGATATTATATTTTTAATAAGTTTGAGAACCTTTCATTCTTTTCCTGTTTTTCCTTAATATTATATTACATATTTTAATTTGGTTAGTAAAACATTTGGATAGTATTAAACAAGTTATCTAATAACTTTTTAGCTCTTAGATATAGACTACTTATATTACTAGAAATGTTGCTAGTCTGTAGTTATGTACAAATGGAAATGAACGTCTTTGAAATGCGAGTCCACTAATTAATAGCAGCCAATCTTGTTGATGAAGTATTCCATTCATAATATGAAAGCAATAAATTCATCCTGTCGTTACTCTTAACGACGATCAAATAAATAAAATTTTATGAATGTAGTATTCTAAGTATTTATAAAAAAACATAGTATGTATTTATCTTTAAATTTTATACGCTTTCGTGCTTAAGTGTCTATCGAGGATTAAATAGATAGTTATTTGGTAAATCTAGTCGTATATGTACGCAGGTATATTTGTCTCAACCGCGATGCAACTAACTGTAAACTGTAAATTTAAGTTTCAAAAGGTTTTAACAGACACTACACATTTAGCTCGTGTAGAAATCTACCTTTTATTATATAATTAAGTTTTAAACGGTTTTGAATGTAAGTAATTTTTATTTAGGTGTTATTTTTAAAGTTTTAACTCAATTTAAATGAGCTCCTTACTTTATGTGCAAAAAAATATATATATATACGTAAACAAAATAACATTTTAGATATTTGTGCTTTTTAAAAGTGTGTTTTTATGTACGATATATATCTTTTACTACATTATAGGTTCAGAATGGGCCCTATTAATTTATGTGCCATATTTTTTTTCATAATATTGTGGTTAACTTTTCATAGCAATGTGGTGCATATAGTCAGAGTAATTTTTTTTGGGTTTGTTGTGTATACTGGGGGGGGGGGGGGGGGGGCCAAAATAGTAGAATAAAAGAATTGATTGAAAGTTAGATGTGAAGTGAATAGGTCATTAGATCATTGTTAATAAAAGTTGTTAATCGATAAAATTGTATGGCAAAGATCGGATTCGTTGGTATAATGGGTTAAGGCCTAAATTCAGTAAAAGATAAATATCTTTACAATTAAATAATGGCTGCATCGGTAACACAATGATGCAATATCTGTTAACAAACTTTCAATTCCTAACACACAACTTTGGCTGTTTTCAAAAATGAAATAATACACTATGTACAAGAATCGTCTGATCTATTTTTATAAAATCAGTACTATGTTAAAATGGTTTCCTAAACAAAATCGTGGAGTCGTTTTACCAATAAGAATTCATAAATTTTGACATAAACGGAAGTCACTAGTGGCCTAGTGGTTAAAGGCCCGTCTCTCGTACTCGAAGGCGCGGGTTCGATCCTGGCAAGTAGTAATGTGATTTTTCCGAGTCATATGTTCTTACTAAGAGTATTTAAACACCACTGACAAACGGTGAAGGGAAACATCGTGAGAAATCGTCGACTTATAATTTCATATTATAAGTTTGAAATCACCAACCCGTCTTGATCAAGCGTGGTGATTCATGCTCAAATCTTCTCCATGTGAGAAGAGGCCTTTGCTCAGCAGTGGGCTATGATAGGCCGATGACGATGACGACATAAACGAAATTTTATAGCAATTATTTGCTCTACATGAAAACTAATTATTTTTTCGGAGGAAATTATAGGTCACATTTTTATACATTGCCTTTCCTTTTAGTATAAAGAAAAGGGAAGAATTTCTTTGTGACCAAAAGTAACTATTATTTATGGTTTTCTAGTTAGATTGGCTGTGGTATTTAAAGCCTCTCTGCATCATAACAATAGCACACTTACATATTTTGTTTCACTTATTAAGTTATTTAACGGGCACTGGAAATAATTGATGCAATAATAATGTTGTACAATTTATTTAGTTTTCTTTTAGTGAATTTTTTTTAGTTTTCTATGACATATCTAGTTGTTAGTATTGTAATTTCCTATAGTTATCTCTTAGAATCACAATAATATAATCATTAGATAAATATTTATAATTCATCCATCAGCTGAAATATTTCTACAGCAGGATATAGATCTTTTCCCTTTTGAAGAAGACAAAGAAATGTTTGTTTGATATATTACAAGATTTGATCGTTTGAGCTGTTAATATTTTCGCATATATATTAAATAATATCATAGATTGATAAAAAACACTTTAAGTATTATTTTTCTAACAAACCTTTCCTTTCAGTAGCAAGAAAACTGTTTGCAGTTATACATAGAAGAGAAAAAATACAGTGCACTAATAGACAGTTAAGTTAGATTTTGCATTCAGTTATATATTCAAGTAGTCAAGTAGTTGTATTTAAAATATATCATTTTATTCGTCAATGTTCATCATTCTTATAATATAGGTATGAATATTTCCTAAGTGGATACCAAATATAAAATATATCTCGGGACGTATGACTAGGGTTCTTTTCTTGAGCTGAACCTCCAAGTACTTTTGCAGCCGATGTATTATATAACAAATCCATTGAATGACTGCCATATAAATTGTTATATTTTATTTGATTTTATTGAAGGATACTCGAGGGGCTTAAAATCCTAAACCAAGAGTTTAATCCTTATGAGCATGTATAAATGTATATAAAACAACTTATCTT